ACATTTATTGATTTGCATATGTTGAACCATCCCTGCTATCCTGGGATAAATCCTACCTGGTCATAGTGTGTAATCTTCTTGGCGGTTTGTTGAATTCTGTTTGCTACTGTCTTATTGAGGATTTTTGCATCTATGTCCATTAGGAAGATTGGCCTGTAGTTCTCTTTCTTTGTTGTATCTTTCTCTGGTTTTGGTATCAGGATAATACTTGCCTCCAGGAAAGAGTTAGGGAGTATTGCTTCCCTTTCAATTGCATTGAAGAGTTTGAAGAGTACTGGCATTAGATCTTCTCTAAAGTTCTTATCCCCAGCCCAACCATATATTGACTGTATGGAACACTGCTTTTCAATAAATCATTGAGACATCGTACATCTGTGTACTTTCTTAAAATTTAAAAAAAGCATTCAGGTGTTTACATGATAAATTACAAACCATATAGTCATCCCACCCCATACCTTATCAATGAATGTTTTATGCAAAATGGAAAGCATAATCAATTGTTTAAAATGGCTTATGTTAAATTTTCCTCAGTCATCACTCTTAAGGAGCTCTAAAGAGTAATTGTCTTAGAAGTGATTTGGGGGGTTAGCCTGTATGTTGGAACAGTTTTGGTTTTCCATCCCTCTGACTGTGTAAGAATGTGGAAATGAGAATTGGGAGAGATCGTGTAGTTTTGAAGACTATTTCTTCCCAATTCCAAGTCCTCAGCATTTCCCAAAGAAATTACTGTCCCGATGAAGGTGAAGAGCTTTCTAGCATTTTTACCTGCATTTCATTTTCAAAGAATACCAGAAAATGGTCATTTACATCTATGACCTCGAGTTCATTTATAATAAACTGCAACAAGTTATGCAATAATACTTGATAATACAGTGTACACAGCTTTGTGGGGACCGCATAACTCCTCCCAGTCCAATTTCTTATTCAGCTATAAATCACTAGTTTGATGACTGAGCTGAAAAAGTAGTTTGTTCCTTTTGGACACAACTTGGGTCCCCCTTGCAGCCAATTCCTCTGCCCCCAGCCCCAGATCTTTTACTAGATTTGCTATTAAAAAGGTCCTCTCTTTTTCCTCAGCCATAACAGCGTCTCCACGCACTCAGCAAGAGACCCACCCAATAAAAGAGGCATGGTGGAGCATGCCTGTAATCCCAGCACTTCGGACCCTGAGGCAGGAGGATCGTTGCGAGTTCGAGACCAGCCTGGGCTACAAAGTGAGCTCAAGGCCCGTCTGAACTGCATAGCGAGACCCTGTCTCAAAAACAAAACAAAACGAGAAGCAAGACTTGCTTTTGTGTAAGAAAGCACTCCTTCCTGGCCACCACTGTAGTCTACCATGTTCTTCTAAGGAATATCACCAAGTCAAACCTCAGACACCACTGGGGAGCAAAAATGCTTATCCTCCCCATAGCCTAGCAAATAGTCCCTTCCAGAGACTCAGATTTGCTTGTTTAAAAATCTGCCCAGGCTCACAAACCCTAGTTTACTGCCCTAGATTTCTGCATATGTCAGAGTAGTATTGTTAGCAAATTCCATTTTTTAGTAAACAACTCCACCATGCTTTCGCTTGTAGTTTTAAAATCTTGGAAATGGTGTGGATGTTCAGCATTTTAAAAATTTTTGTTGTTGTATTGCTATTCCTTTTAGTAAACCCAACTGATGCTCCTGTAACAGCTTCTACTGTCACATGACTTAAAAAACAGAACATAGGGAGGAAATGTGCTCTAGTTGACTAAAAATCATGTGTTTAGTCTAGTTTTGTATTTCTACACAATTATCAGGAATGTTCATGCTGGCTTATCTACTGAATTTATTTTTAATGTTAGTAACACCAAAAATAACAGTATTTACACTTATATACTTTAAGTTATTTTATTTTATCATGACTTCAATCTAGTCAAATAGCTGCTATCATGGAACAGGGGGATAGAGAGAATGTGACTTATCCAAGATCCTACAGGAAATCTTTTGGCTGATCAGAGATTTTCAATACCAATAAATTGTTCTATATTACTGCTAATTTCAAAATGAGACCTTCAAAATTCACATTTTAATTTTAATAGTATGGCTTATTGAAATATGCATGAGAAAATTCAAAGATAAGGTGAATGACATTAAGAATTATAATTTGTTTTAACATGAGTCAAGAAATTAAATTGGAAGAAATGAAGAAAGATGTAAGAGTAATCTACAAAACTCTATATAAGTATACTTAAATTATGAAATTGGATACTACGGTTTCCCTATCTGTGTTCCCTAGGCCTGTGAATATGACAAGAGCATGAAATTAAACCACAAGAGGAAAAAGAAAAGATGTGTTGAAGGAAAGATATTAAAGGAAAATAACCACATAATGTTTGAGTAACAGTGCCAGTTCAATTAAAAAACAAAATTATATAATTGTACATCAGAATGCTTAATTCATTAAATTTTTCATTGCATATTTTAGTATATTTAAATATCATATCAAGATGAAATACTCTTCTTTCAGTCATTTAAAAATTTTATTAAGAGCTTAAAATGTTCTAGTGTCTGTGTTAATCATGCAATAAGGGGTTGCATATTGATCAGCATAACTCAAGAATGTTTTAGAAGAAATATTGAAAAGTCCAGGAAGGTGAAGAGGAAAAACAGAAGTAATCTGTACAAAAAAATAGAGTGCATGACTGTAGATATACCTCACCAGTATCACATACAGGCTTATTTCTAATTAAATTCTACATTCTCCACAATATTCTTAAAAACTAAATGCTAAGCTACATTGAAAGATGCTAAAAGGACAAAGACATATCCCCTCTATGGTTTTTTTCATTTCAATGAAGTGTTCAGAGTTAGTAGATTTTTAATGATTGAGACAGATTTTAAGGGGGGATTAAAATAAACAGGATTTTAAAAAGACAATTTAAAAAGAAAATATGAAAAATTAGCACACCTTTGAAAGTCACTAGACATGTACTATTTAACGACATTTTAGAATATTAGTGAGCAGTTTTCCCCCATTACTTGGGGTTGAAGCCAGGGAGTGCTAGGTACATTCTCAATTTTTACTTTTCATTTTGAGAAGGTTCTTGCTAAGTTGCCCAGGCCTGATCCAGAGCTTTTATCTTCTCTTGTCAGCCTCCTGAGCAGCTGAAATTACAGGCCTTCAACACCCTCTCTGGCTTAGTAAATAATTTTTGTAAAATTTGTTACGCATAAAAATGTTTTGTAGAATCCAACAGTTAAGGTACTGACAATGTCTAAAGAGTCAGTTTTCATATTTTGACTCTTTCAGGTATATATTTAGATAATTCCAGGAATTACTGAATTATTATTCAATAATTATTATTGAATAATTATTGAAAATTATTATTGAAAATTATTATTGAATACTATTGAAAATAATTATTGAATTATTGGTGAATTATTATTCACCAATATATTTATGTTAGTGGTTTAGCCAGTGTGAGTTCATGGGATAAATGTTACAATAGCCTAATAGGATTTATAATAAACACTTGAGGCTGGAAAAACTTAACCCATATAACAATAGCAAACATTTCAGAATGTAAAACTTCAAAACCACCTAGAAACTGGGTAAGGTGATTTTGGGGAAAGGGGCTCTAATTTTAAAATACGACTATTACACATCTATAATCTTAGCACTCTGGAGGCTGAGCCAGGAGGATCGCCATGGTTCAAGGCCATATAAGTGACTTCAAGGCCAGCCAGCACTATATACTGAGACTCTATCTCAAAAACAAACAAAAACAAAAATGAAATTTTCCTGAAAATACATCATTTTCTTTCATATTTGAAGGTACAGCAATACTAATCAAAGTAGGAAATGCAAAGAAAATGTTATTATACTACCACTCACCCAATCCATACATTTAGAAATACCGGTAACATGCACAGAATTGAAATAGCATAATTACTTGAGAAAATTAAAAAAATCTCCGAAGGGCAAAGCAATAAAAACAGGACTTTCCACAAATGCACTAAGCCCAAGCTCAGTACGTTCTTACTAATACTTAACTGAATTGAAAGCTATTCCTGAAACTCGGGTTTTCATCACTAATCCTCTCCGAATCCTGACCAAGGAAGTTGGGGACAGTCGGCTTCAGGAACTGGAAATCGCTGGTCTCTGAGCCTCCCCTCAGACACACCTCATACTGGTAGCTGTGGGCCAGGGTCCCGGCGCCGCTGACGTCCAGCAGGCGGGCCGGGAAGGGGCCCTC